TGTGTCCTTTTGTAAGACTAGTTTATCTCAGCAATATCCTCGAGGTCCATTCATGTTGTAGCATGTGTCAGAATTTTCTTTCTTTTAGAAGTGACACATTATTCCATTGAATGTTTACAACAGTTTTAAAATAAAGTGTAAAAATGTGTGGACATAAGAAAATTTGGGGCAGACTGATGATTATTTTACTTTATCTATACCAGGGCTCCTGTTTATTAAGCATTGCTATGGGTCAGGCACTATAGAAATTGTTTAAGTTCATTCTCGTTTATTCCTGGCAACTTTGTTTTTCAGATGAGAAAATTTGCCTATGAAGTCAAAGAGATGAAATAACTTGCCTAAATCCCACAGCTGAAGAGGAGGGATGGAGAATTCTGCCCCTTGTCTATGATCTGAGAGGCCCTGCCTTGACTCAGGGTGGAATGATCTATCATACAGGATAATTAGGATCCCCAGAGAGAGGATGCCTTTGAATGGGAGGACCATGGTAATGATAAAGTAATATTCACACCTACATGTGCACCCAGCGATGTCACTCTATTTTTAGGCCATTTTGGTCTCCTTATCTGTACTTGATGCTGCATTGTACTATCTTTGGTTCCCTTGCAGCAGTTTGGCATGTGTGGGAAGTATAGGGTTCACTTCCTCTCTGCCTGTGCATGAAACACCTTCTTTCACAGCCCAGTAGTTACCCCCAAACCAACCCCAAGGAGGTCCTTCTTCCTCCCCTTGCCATCTTCCCCTTAGGTTTTGTTTTTGGACTGGGAATTGAACCCAGGAGTACTTAACAACTGAGCCATGTCCCCAGAACTTTTTATTTTTTTAAAATTTGAGGCAGGGTCTCTTTAAATTACTTAGAGTCTTGCTAAATTACTTAGGGCCTCACTAAGTTGCTGAGGCTAGCCTCAAATTTGTGATTCGCCTGCCTCAGCCTGCCAAGTTGCTGGGATTATAGGCATGTGCCACCATGTCTAGCTACCATCTTCTCCTTGGAGAAACCATCTAGACCTGTTACTCCTACAGGTAGAGCCTGTGTCACCACATCTCTTTTCACTCTGGTCTGTCTCATCTAGGTGTGATGTAGTGTTTGGACATTTGTCCTGAGCATTGTCACTAAGCCAAGCCACTCTGACCACTGAGATCTGACCAGGCCCACCAAACATGGCTTAGGGCTCACTGTTTAACATACCTCCACAAAGTGAAGTCTGCCTTTCCCAAGCTGTCCATTACAACAGTTTTTTTTTTTTTCATTTCTTGTCTGAAATATGAGAAATACTACCAGTTTTTGTTTGGTGGAGCTGAGTTTCTGAGAACCTTCAAAGTAGTTAGCTGGCATTTTTTGGTTACTTGTGTCTCTGGAAATCAGCGCACACATAGCAAAAACAATGTTCAGTGGGAACTGTATTTCAATGATCAAGATGGGAAATCAGACACATTTCAGGTATTGCCCATAGTGTCCTCAAGGCAAAGATATAGCTATATGCATATTTATAATTATATACAGAAAAACTTTCTCAGGTACCATGAACTCCTACTTTGCTAAAGAGACCTCTTACTCATAAGCCCCACAGAGCTCAGTAGTACCATGTAGAAAGGGGGAATTTAAGGATCAGAGAGAAGGCGAACTTTTTAATATTATTTCTTCAGATTAACACACTATAATAGTGATGCTAGAAGAACCATTGGAAGATCCAAATTTCAAGTTGGTAACAGCCTGCAAAACCACAGAACAGTCATAGCAGCAATTTCTTAAGCTTCTACAGGAAAAGGCTCCTTGTCCTAATAAAAACAAAACTATTATTTTTAAAATCTTCTCAGGGAGTCTATCAATAAAAACAGTTGACCAACTCCAGAACTAGAGATTTAAATTTACCCACTTTTTATTACTTATTTTAGAAAATGCTTATTTCAGTTACAAATTAATCTGGGAAAGACATGGTTATGGCACAAAAATCAAGTTTTAAGTATTAGTATAAAGAGTTTTGTAAATATAGGAGCTAAGTTAATATTTGCACAACAAATATCTTCAAATATAATACTTTCTAAAAAATGCTTTTAGTGCCATTTAAATCCCTAACTGGCCATGAAAAAGCCTTGTTATGACAGTTGATAATGTAAAGGGGAACAACAACAACAAAAAAGCTTGAGGCTTTAGGATTCACAGAGTGAACAGACACAATGTAATGCAGAATTAAGAAGAGAAATAAATTCCCTTTTTTCTTCTGCAATGCTAGTGATGCAATCCAGGGCCGTACACATGCTAAGCAAGTGCTTTACCACTGAGCTACATCCCTAGCCTCCATTCCCTAACTCTGAATGTACATTATATTTAAAAGATATTTAAAATATCCTGAACTGGTAGAAATCTGTTGATCTCTGCAAAAAATAGTAACCCTCTTAAATCATGCAATACTCACTACAAATATTTATTATGGTAGAGATCAGTGTATTAATGTTATAAATATCAGAATGAAAAGGTCAATAAGAATTAAAAAAAAACTTCATTCAGTTAAAGTTTAAAGTTCATTCCTTAAAGTTTAAAGGAAGTGTTAGTAATCATCATCAGCATCAGCCCAAACTGAAAAAAGACCTAAACCCCATTATTGTTATCATCATCATCATCATCTTCATCATCATCATTACTGGGGATGGGCCTTGCACATGCTAGGTAAGTGCACCACCATTGAGCTATACCCTAACCCACAGGTTATACTTAATAAAGAGATGTTTGAATTATATTCATAGTTCTTATTCTAGGTATTCTTATGTAAGAATCCTATGATTTATTCACTTAGTTATCCAGTAAAGACAGGGTATATCAGGAACATGCTGGCTTAGCCAGGCATGTCAGAACACTCCAGTCCAGTAACTCCAGAGTCTGAGACAGGAGGATCACAAATTCAAGGCCAGCTTTGGGCAACTGAGTGAGACCCTGTCTCAAAATTAAAAACAAAAAGGGTTGGGGATACAGCTCATCCCCCATACTGCAAAAAAAATATAGAAATAAAAATAATCAAAGAAATATGCTAGCTTGGTCCCCCCCCCCACCACCCATTTTTCTTTTCTTTTGAAACTTAAACTATGTTTTTTTTCTTTATCAATTTTTTAAGGAAAAAATACCAAGAATAATTCAGTAAGATAATAATAGAGGGGTTGGGATTGTGGTTCAGTGGTGGAACACTTGCCTAGCACGTGTGAGGCACTGGGTTCAATCCTCAGCACCACATAAAAATAAATAAATAAAATAAAGGTAAAAAAAGATAATAATATAAAACTTAGGAGAAAGTAATCATAGGAAATCTTTCAGAATTAAAAAAAAATGGATTTGAGTCCTTTGACAATAGTGAGGCTTAACATTTTGTAACCACCATAGTTGAGCTTAGGGTTAACTGATGACTGTGCTTCTAAAAACAGGGATGTAAGGAGTAACTGTGTTGTAATACTGCAGATTAAAAATCATTTGTATGTAAATATGATAGGTATAGCATCTGAATTTTAAAATAAGTTTAGAAATTTTAGAGTTTTTCCATTAAATCAAAGGAAAATTAGTGTCAGTGAAATTTCCAAACTAGTATAGAAAAAAATGTCCAGAATCTTGGCCACAGGGAGAGGCAATTTCTATTTTTATTGCACATTTCAATGCTTAAAATGATTGGTTAAATAGAGAGCAATTCTACACTGTCAAGACTCACTAGGATCATGGATACTGTATTCTCAAATAAGAACACAATATAAGACACACTTTCATTTCTTTATAGGAATTGAAATTATTACGCTAACTTGAAAAAATATCATAGGCAATGTTCTACTGCAAAATTTCATTTCTTTACAAATTAGTGGTTTTAAAGTAGGTGAATCCAATTTTACATCCTATCCATGAACTAATGGGCCAACTAGACTATGACCAATTAAACAATACTGGCATTTGCATGAACATATTGCAAATAGAATTCAGTTTCAAAATGTAAATAAACAGTTTGAGTTCTTACTCTCTTCTCCACTCCCACCTGAAATCAAACTGTGGATAAATAAGACACTTATTATTAACATTTTTATGGTAGAACTTTACTAAATAAGCATTTGCATCTACCCTGAGTCATACCTATGGTCTCTGATGACTGCAATTGCATTTTTTTTTGGTGTGTGTGTTGGAGGCAGTGCTGGGGATCAAACCCAGGGTCTTGTCAACCACCGAGTTACATCCCCAGCTGTATTGCTGCATTTTCTAAAAGGAGTAAAGATTTTTATCAGAATGCTTTTCACATTAGGATTTTCTAGCAGCCCTTCACTCAGGATAGCTAAAGTCCTTTTGCCCTAAAGCTAAGGTACTCACTGCAACGTGATGAGTTAGAACTTCTGCATCTAGAATGGCTCTAGATATTCACCAGGCTAGGAGAATTGAGAAGAATAATTTAAATAATTTTCCAAAGGGCTGAGCTCTGCTTTCAGTATATATATGGAAATCTAGCATTTTCCAAACCTAGGCAATTAATTGTCCAGGGCATTCTAGGGCAAGAAGAACACACTAATAAATCATGTTGATTCCTATGCAAATGAGTTGCAAACATGAATCAGAGGGTTAAAAAAAATCACACTCTTTTCATCAGATTGTTAGTGGATCACCCTTTATGATACAAAACATAAAGTATGTTGTAGAGTATGGCCTCACATGAATCACCAGGAAATTGGTTTATAAAAAGAAATGAATTATATGGAAAAATATATGATCTTCTGCTGAATAGGGCTAAAGATGCTTGCTAACAATACTCGGTGGAAGTTGGAAGTGAAAAGTGTGAGTGGAGACAGGCTCAAATGACCATTGCTCATCAGTTTATAAACATATTGTGATCAAGACTCTATAGCAGTGTGTGCCGTACAAAAATTCTGACATCTTCAAGCTGGGCCCACACACATAAATAGCTTCCCTGTCAGGACAGCTCTCGTATGGGTGGGAAATAAGATGTATACCCCACAATCAGCACACACTTTTACACAGGCAGTAAAACCCAGACACTTTTATTTAAACTTTAGAAAGCAAACAGGCTACCCACAAAGAATAGTTAGGAAACTCAAAGTGTTTTATTTTGTACTGTTTTCTTAAAAAAAAAAGTGTAGATCATCATTGATTCATCTGTATAAATATTTCTCCTGGCAATAGTAGTTAACTTTTAACCTCCCATTCAAAAACTTCACAACTTCAAGTATTTGAAATGCACTTAAATCCCCCCCTGCTTTTATTTTCTATATTACGTTCTCATCATGATTAACTGACTCATGAAGTTGAAGAATTTCTTTTAAAAGGAAGTTCAAAAATCTTTACTAGTATGTACTAGGACAAATTAGCATTCTCTGTGTCAGTACTCATTTTAACAGTACTATTTTTCCTAAAAGATAGAAAGTGGGGGGAAAATAGGCATACCTGTTCCATTCAGAGCAAAGCACAAAATATCATTTAAAAAATAAATACCTAAGACATTCCTGCCACACTTCCATGTCCATTTCCTCAGCTGTTGAAAAATTTTCTCAAGTGGCGCTGCATCTCCACCTGCCTTCTACCAGCAACCTCTGTGGCTCTGTCTCACTGAATCTGACTCTGGAGGGTAACTGCTCTTTGTCACTTGTCATGAAGCTTGTAGTTTGATATCCTGGGCTTCACATCCAATTTCAGAAACTCAAATGACACTATATGGACTCACTCTAAATCTTTTTTTAGTGCAGTTTGGCAAATATCCCAAATGAAATTCAACTCTAAGTTAAAAGTATCAAGCAGAGATAGAGCTAAGTGTGTCTGACTTGCTGGGCTGCCCAAAGGCTCTGGTGAGGTTAGGAATAGAAAACCTAATTGTCCCTAGCTGAAGGGCTGCAGACACCTGTTGCTTTGTCACAACAGAACAGTTAACCACAGAGACAGCAGGAACCCAGAGGCCTAACAGCAATCAGGCTGCTGGGCTGCTGTGAATATCTTTAAAGGCCAACAACTGCCCTCAGCTTTGCCCCACCTCACAAACTCAGAAACGTTGGAATCATCTCCACTATAACTCAGTGTTAAGAACAGCAAGCATTAAACACGAACACCTGATAGATTCTGCTCCACATCTCCCTTCTGGGACTCCAGCGCGCTCTTATTTTCAGGCTGTTTCTACCTGCTGATTTGAACTTTGGCTTTGGTTTTGGTTTCTAGAAAAAAATGTATTATAAAGCTGTCTGGAGAGACCACCGCTAGATGGCCAAGTCACCTGGCCTGGCCCGCCCACTGCTGGCCTTGCTGGACCTTCCTGGGTCTGTAAGGAGCAAGGGAGGCTCATGCATCTCTGCTGTGGTGGTCAAGGCCTGCTCCTCTTCTTCGGGTGTCACAGCCAAGGCACTCTCTTCCAAGCTGCTGCCGCTCCGGTCCTCCAGCAGCTGGGGTGCGGTGCCCCCCTGCCCAGCCTCCGGTGGGAGCCGCTGGCTATTGCTGCCTGCGGGGCTTGGGGCTGCGGGACTGGGCGCTGCGGAGGAGGCTTTCCGCGCCGGAGTCTGATGCTCCGCTGCTTGGTTGGCCCAGTTCTGCTCTGTCATCAACAGGTGTTGGTTATTGTAGAGCTTGGCAGGGTGGCCCTTCCCTTGTGACTCATTCAATGCTACCATTTTGAAGTCTGCTGCTGGTGGCGGGGCTCCGGGGTACCCTGCTTCGCCTGCCTGTCCCAGGGGAGAGGCATAATGCGTGTATAAAGGTGGGAATCCAATAGTGACAGTGGGTGGGCGGGAAGCGAGTGGCAATGGCTCTGCGGCCACCAGCTTGGATTCGGAGGTGTCTGGGCCGAAATGATCAGTCACTCCTTGTTTGAATTTTTTCCAGCCCAAGTGGTAAATCTCCAGCATGTTGAGTACAAGAGAGGCACAGGCCACCGCTAGCATGAAGATGATGAAGATGGTCTTCTCGGTGGGTCTGGAGATGAAGCAATCCACCATGTTGGGGCAGGGCCACCGGTCACATCGGTAGAGCGGCTGCAGTTGGAAGCCATACAGAAAGTATTGCCCAGCGATGAAGCCCACCTCAAAGAGCGTCTTAAAGATGATGTTGAAGACGTAGGTCCGCAGCAGCGCCCCAGCGATGCGCACCTTGCCTCGGTCATCACGCACCACAGTCTTATCCTGAGAGCCAGCCCCATCTAGAGACTCCTGACCCCGCTCAAGGTGCGGGTTTTCTCTCCTCAGCAGCTCCTCCTCCCTCTCTTTCTTCTTCTCTTCCATGCGCACAATGTGCAGTACATGGCCCAGGTAGATGAGGGTGGGCGTGGACACGAAGATAATCTGCAGCACCCAGAAGCGGATGTGCGAGATGGGGAAGGCCCTGTCGTAGCACACATTCTCGCAGCCGGGCTGCTGGGTGTTGCAGGTGAAGTCGGACTGCTCATCACCCCACACCTCCTCTGCTGCGGCCCCCAGCACCAGGATTCTGAAGATGAACAGCACCGTCAGCCAAACCTTGCCGATGACTGTGGAGTGCTCCTGTGCGTTCTCTAGTAGTCGCCCCAGAAAGCTCCAGTCACCCATTGCTTCAGATTGCTAACCTGTAAGGGAACATTGCGCATTAATACGCAGGTTAGAGTAGTTGAGCTGCAGAGGTCAACCACCCCAGGGCAATCACGATGAGTACTAGAATTGAGTCCTATCAGCTGTACTCCCACTTCCAAACATGGGTAGTGCTGGGGAACTCTCCTTAAGGATGTAGGTACACATGTGCATAGTCAGCTCCTCACATCCTTAGGTTCAACCAACCTCAGATGAAAAAATAATGGGGGCGGGTGGCGGGTGGCATTGCATCTGTCCTCAACAAGTACAAACTTCCATTCATTCATTTTTTTTTTTTTTTTTTTTGGTACCAGGGATTGAACCCAGGGGCAATTAATCACTGAGCTACTTCCCCCAACCCTTTTTAATATTTTAACTAGAGACAGGTTCTTGTTGAGTTAAGTCTCTCTCTAAATTGCTGAGGCTGGCTTTGAACTGGAGATTCTCCTGCCTCAGCCGCCTCAGCCTCCTCAGCCGCTGGGATTATAGGCATGTGCCACCGTACCTGGCTGTCATTATTTCTTAATACAGTATAACAACCATTTCCACAGTATTTACACCATATCAGGTCTTCTAGAGATGGTTTAAGTATACAAAATGGTATGTGTAGATTCTATGCAATACTAAGCCATTTTATATAAGGGACATGAGCATCTGTGGACTTTAGCATCCATAGGGGTCCTGGAGTCAATGGACATTGAAGTACTGGATGTTATTTCCCTATTAACTTGTGGAACAGAATTGAATTCATATCCACAGCACTGTGCAGTAGTCACAAGTAGTAATTGCTGGCATAAACAAGATAACCATGTGTTCCACTCCTTATTTCAGAGATGAGGAAAGGAAGGCTAGAAAGAGAAATGATTCACCTGACCTCTAACTCCCCACATCTTTCTCCACAGAAGCATGGTATCCCCACAGGAGCTCTGGACTCTACCTGCAGCTCAAACCAACTCCAAATCTTCACCTTTGTTTGTGTGAATTAGAGCAAATTTTTCCCAAATTGTTGTTATTCCCGTGTCACCTTCATAATATGTCATGTTGTATTGGTATTATAAGTCATGTGTCATATGTCACCTTGCCATATTAATCTACTACCATTCTTATTATTTACTTTTTTTCTTAATAGCAACTTTCTTTTTATGCTTAAATTTAGCTTAAATAGGAAACTCTACATCACTTCTCTAAAAGGAGGTACTGATACCATAAATGGAAGGTAGCTTTAAATACATTGTTGACAATTGTTTGCTCTAGCTTCCCCTCACAAACAACCCCTGAGTATAAACTCTTTATTTATTTAAAGAGCGAGGTTAGAAGTATTAGAGGTGTGTTAAAGATACAAAGGGGATTGGTTCCAGGATCCTGAAAGATACCAAAATCTGTGGATGCTCAAGTTTTGTATATAAAATGGCACAGTTTTTGCACTGAACCTGTACTCATCCTCTTGTATACCTTAAAACATATCTAGATGACTTACAATACCTAATAGGTGTAAATGCTATGTAAATAGTTGTTGTAATGTTTAGGGAGTAATAACTAGAAAAAAGTCTGTACATGTTCAGTATAGACCCATTTTCCCCCCTGAAATATTTCTGATCCTTGATTGGTTGAATTCACAGATGTGAAGCGCTGACTCTACTATAATCAAACTGAGACCTTCAAGACCGCTGTTAGGATGAAAACAGAATTAAGGGATTGAGTTTCTCATCATTTGATTCCATATCAATGAATATACAACCTAAAATCACCTCTCCTATTAAGTGTAATCTTTGTGGTCCCTACAGAAACTCAAGTTAGACACTTGGGCAAAGATGGATGGAGTGGTGGCTGGGTGCCAGAGGAGGTACCAGGGATAACAGGTCGTGATAATCCTTCCAGGACCAGGGCTGCAGTCCTTCAGCAGGAAGTCACCCAATAGCACTAATAGGCATCCAATGTGTCCCTAGTGCTGTGCTGGGAACTAGGGAAACACCTCCAAATGCAGCCAAGGTGCTACAGTGGAGCCAAATAAACAGGGGAAAAGCCACCAGGCCTTGGTCTTCTGGGCTGGAGAGTCAAGGGTGCTGGGCAGGGCTCATAGGTGTGACTACACCTGACGACAGGAGAGCTGCAGGCACACTCTAGACTCCCTCAGCAAGAGTTAAGAATGTGTCTGGGAGCAGGAGCTGCCTCTCTCTGAGCCTGTGGAAAATAGGTGACAGTGATGAAGGGAGGTAAGACATGGACTCTGTTTTAGAAGGCAGTAGCACTCTTCAGACACAGGGGATACAGATTAGGTGTCCCATGTCATTGCTGCTCAAATAGTCTGGGCACTGTGACTGAACTAAAGAAGAGCTTCAGCGTTCTCAAAGCCACTCTTGGCAGTAAGGAAAGCCATCTCTGCTGTATGAGTATTCCTAGGTTGCCAGTGGAATACATTTTAAATTTTAAAATGTTCAAAATATTAATTTTTATGATTAGGATTGAAGGCAAATAAAACTTGCTAGAAATCTGATGAATACCTGTCTTTGAATACACTTTCAACTCTTTGCTTATTCAGTCGAGATCTTTAGAGAAATCTTACTCTTCATGGACTCTACAGTCTCCTTGTCCCATATTGTGACTGGTATAACTGGCATCTTCTTCTTCTTCTTCTTTTTTTAAATATATTTTTAGTTGTCAATGGACTTTATTTATTTATTTATATGTGGTGCCGAAAATCGAACCCACAACCCCATCACCTTCATTTACTTAAAAATGCAAAAGAGAAGGCTGACAATGACATAGATTTCTCTAACCATAAAAGATGCTTTAGACATGAACCTTAATGTCAAACCAGACCTAATGATCACTTAATGATATCAAGATTTTTCTTTGTATATTTTTCTTAGTGATATCCACATGGGGTGATTTTAGTTAACAGAAAGTTGACTCTGCCAAGAAAATTCCCACACGAGCATGCTAATGTTTGAATTTCTACTGTGAGAGTTTTGTCTCTAGTTAAAAATGTAAATACTCCAGGATAAGTCTCAGTTTGATCCTGATAAATGGGTTTGGGACTATAAGATGGGTAGCTGCCACTGGATCAAGAATGATGACTATTAATGTATATGTGGTCATGGCAGTTAACACATGACTAATTTGAGAAAAATTAATATATTATATAGATTCTATTCAATTAGTAACTGGTATCATTTTGCATATTCTTAGAAGGTAAAATATTTTACTTCTGAAACTTAATTATTATACATGAAACAACCCACTTTTGCCCATGAGGCAAAAGTCAGGGAACCATTCTAGGTGACCTCCTGCTTCTCCTCCAAGCTATAATTCTCTTAATCAGTCCTCACAGGCATCCCTAGGACAGTCACTCAGGGCCCTTAAGATTATCATGAAGGTTCCTTGCTGTGGTTTTTATGTGGTGCTAAGTGTCCCCCAAAAGTACATGCGTTTGAATCTTGGTCCCCAGGATGGTGCTACTGGAAGGTCATGGTTCTTTTAAGGGGTGGAGCCTAGTGGGAAGTCCTCTGAAGGAGGATTGTGGGGTCTCCCCCCTCTCTTCCCCCCCCTCTCTGACTTCCTTTTAGCCATGTAAGATCCTCCTTTCACACAGATATCTTTTATTTGGTGAAAGAATCACCAGAATTGAGCTAATGCCAGTGCCATGTTCAAAACAGTGAGCTAAATTAACTACTTCATAAGTAGCCTGTGTCAGATCCTTCAATATGGTGACAAAAAGCTCACTAAGAAACCCCCAATGGTACCTCTGCCCTTAGCCCTCCCTTCTCTGCAGTCTGCTGAGATCTTTTAACACATAGCCCTGAGCAAAGAACTGTCAAGTCTCCGACCAACACTGCATAGGACCAAACCATGGTAGCATGCAAGACCCATCAGGACTGGCCACAGCCCTAGGCACATCAAACTCCTGCAGCCTCTGAAACACCACAGTTATGGCTTCTGCACATGGTGTTTCTCTAGCCTGAAACCCATCCCCGTCCAGAGCCCAGCCTGATGAATTGTCCTTACTTCACATTCCCCTTAAAGGTGGCCAATGCAGACCTACACCACTGCCCTGGGTAATCTCTTCTCCTGACCATGCTCTCCTCTGTTTCAGGAAGTTCCCTCCATCTCCTACCCACTCAGGCTAACAACACAGGTGTCCCCTCTCTTTGCTGTCAAGGACAGCAGGGTCTCTGGTCTCCAAAGATCACTTGACTGCTGCAGGCTTGTCCTCCTTAACTCTGGTCCTGAGGGTGGAACTGGCTCATGCACCCCTCCCTCTTGACATCTGCAGCAAAACTGGAAGATGTGCATTTCTGGAGGTGTGTGAGGAGAAGATAGTGTGGGTATCTAATGCTTCCAGCCACCCTCTGATGCACAAGCAGTTTTGCACTGTTTGCCACAGTGTCACCTGTTTGTTGATGTGCTCAATCCAGGGGCTGATGGGCTCCCCACCCAGCATTGGTGGCACACAGGAAGGAAGGAGACTTTGCTGTTCGTCACAGATTGGACAGAGCTGCTGGCATTTCCCTGTGGAGTCAGAGAGGCAAAAATATTCTGCAACGTTCAGAGTGACCTCAGAGCAAGTAACTATCTCAGCCCAAATGTTCATTGTGTGTGTGCACCTGTTAAGGAACACAGGGCCACAAACTCCTTATTTCATTGGTAAATCAGAAGAGGAAGGAGAAGCCGACGACTTCTACAGTGTCTTATTACTACAGTGTCTTGTTACTCAGCTATTCTGGCTTCCCCCTTTCCAGGCTTTTTTCAGCCCAAGTGTTCATAGTATCCAAATATATGCCACTGGAATTGCACTGTGACCTTCTGGTGCAGCCTGTAAGAATGATGCTATCTGGATGATCTGCCTGTGCTTTGGCAGTGGTTACAGCTCATTAAATGTGAGAGATGAACAATTAAGAACATGTCTTAAGTGGGAGCATCCAGCAATATACTCTGTATGGTAATGTACAGTGGTAAGATTTTTCTGGGAAAGAATTTAGTAACATGTATGAGAGATGTAAAGTTATAATACCTTTGACCTTGAATTCTACTTGTAGGGCCCAATACTAAGAAAATAACCAGTTATTTATATAAATGTTTGTACATGATTTCTTATAAATGTTACTTACAAGAAGGAAGAGCTGGAAACAGAAATGTCCCTTAAAAGATGACAGTCAAATAAATCATTGTGGCTGGCTGTGGCTGACCCAATGGTTGACAACCCAGGTCCTAGTCATCTCTTCTCCTTTGTCTGCCTATAAAGTGACTAGGAAGAGAAGTCCTTGCTTCCCCATCCTCCCTTCTGGCTAGAAGTGACTATAAAATGCATTTTGCCCACTGAGATATAAGAATCCTGCTGGAAAACTGGTTTTCAAAGAAAAAGGCAGATGTTATTTGTACTGTTTCTGTATCGAGTACATATGTGATACCTGGAATTGGGTAGCCATCTTGCAAACTTGAGTCAATAAGCTTGAGGGAAGAGTCAAGAAAGCCCCAAGGCATCTGCTGGGACAATGTGGAGTTGTTGAATCAACTCTACCAGCCACTTTCAGCCTTTTTTATGTTAGGAGGAAAAACTATATTTATTTTAGTTAGATATTTTTGTGTTACTTGCAGACAAAATAATTCCTAATTGATATACCACCTTAAATTCCTTACAGAATAAGACTGGGCATACAAGAAAATATACGGTTGACTCATAATTACTAAAATATAATATGATTCATGACTATTGAAATATATTGATATCTTGTTATAGTAAACATAATTTCAAAGCACATTAATAATTTGAAGAAATACTGATGCTACAATGATAAATGACAAAAGACTCATACAGTACTATGGTCTAATATCACCTGTTTTACACATACTCACACATGCATGTAGAGAAAGGAAGAATGATACTGAAATGTTAACAGTGGTGTTTTTGAGAATGGGGTGATTTTTATTTTCTTTTCATATATATCTACATTTTCCATAACTTCATATCACATCATCATAAAAGCTTCCTGACCATGGCTTATATTTTTTGAAGTTCTAGTTTTTGAAAAAATCAGCTGATTCCTTTTTCATTGTTCATCATGGTTTCTACTTCTTTCTGCTCTTTAATTGTATCAATAGTAAGTACACAAAAGACAAATACAATACACTGTGCACAATTAGCCCAGTGTTAGAAGATAATGCTTCTGGGATTGCTGAGGCACATAACTAGCCCTGACAGGACAGCAGCTATGATTGATGACACAGAGCTTAAAGTGAACTCCATCCTCCTGCCTGACAGTCTACACATTGGGAGCAGTATTGGGGGTAGGGATGCAGTTTCCCCCACAGAACCTAAGTATTCAAGGGTAAGTGTGTCCCCTATACTCACTGGTGAACCTCACTGCTGCACTTCACAGGTTGGGTTTTGTTTTGTAAAATGCATATGCACATGAATGACAAATTTAACCAGAGCACTATTTGGAATATTAACAATCTGGATAGAAGTCAGATTAAATGGGCACCTCCAAAGCAGAAGTGGCATCCATCTCCCTGCACAGTGTCAGACTTCAGGTGGTTCCAGATGACAAGTAGAGGTTCTAGAGGTTTTTTTTTTTTTTAATTAATACCACTTTCAAATCTTAGCCTTACAATGAATCCCACCATCATGTACATCTATAATGAACCAATAAAAATATGGGAAAAATAAAGAAATCACATCTCTAGTATTAGTCAGATAGAAAAATCAGTACAGATATGAGTCATAGTGGCTCAGCAAGAATACTTCAGACAGGATCTTCAGAAATTGAGATCAAGGGGAACTAGCACAGAGGTTGGGTGAAGGGAATGCCTAGCACCCACTTGGAGGAGAGGGTGCTATGATTTGGATGTGGTTTGTCCCCCAGAGTTGTGTTGGGAGCTTCGTCCCCAGGATGGCAATGTTGGAGGATGATGTGAGGCCTGGTGGGAGGTTCTTAGGTCAACTGGGGGTATGCTTTTGGAAGTGACTATGAGATCCTAGCTGCCCAACATGTTTTGCAGCCAACAGGGTCCTTGAACCTCTAAAACTATGAGCTGAATAAACTTCTTTCTAAGTAGTCTACCTCAGGCATTTCATCACAGTAATGCAAAATGGACTAGTACAGGTTTATTTTCATCTTTAATGGAAAACCTCAAAGTGTGACTGCTAACTTTGTAAGGTTCATGTGATCTAACAATAGAATACTGTACCCTGCATTATTGAGCATTTTTAAGGTCATGTGCTGCCATAACCTTTCAGGCAACGATGGATTACATATATGATGAGGTTCCATAAGCTTATACCACAATGATACCATAACCATGTTAATTTGTATAAGTAGACTTGATGATGTTCATACGATGATGGAAAAAAACCCCAATAACATTGTCAGAATGCAGGAAGTGATTAGGAGGAGGGTCTATCTGTCTGTGGTTGGGGCTTCATGGGAGGGGGTGTGAAGAGCAGAGAAAAAGTCCTTAGGACGAAATTGGCAGAAAACAAAAAACAAAGAAACAAGATATCAGAAAGGACTCATGACTTGGATATGCAAAGGTGGGACTTCAGGGAATGGTTCCACAGCCAGGCACTGTGGGAAGGGACCAAGGTGAATGAAGACCAAGCCCACTGGTACTAGATGGTGCCAACAAAATGGTCTCCTTCAGTGTGGGCCAGATGAGCTTCCTCAAAGTCAAAAAGTTTGGATTTTGTTAGGTTCTTGGAAAATATGCTCTGTGAAATTATCTTTTATTTTTGGCATCATCATTTCCTCTTTTTCAGTCATTGTAGGAAAGTTAGTTAAAAAATTTTTTTTAACAGAACAGGGAAATAGGCTTTTTAAATTTAGAATAATTTTAGAATTAAAAATCTTTCAAAAATATCATAAGTTTCTACATACTCTTCATCCAGATTCCCCAAATACAAACAACTTGATAACTGCCATAATATTATTAAAATCTATGACATTAACATTGGTGAAATATTTTTTTTTTTTGTAATTGTCTTTTTCTGTGTGGTGCTAGGGATCAAACCCAGGGCAAGTGCTCAATGCACTGAGATATACTCCCATCCTGATAAAATACTCTTAAAAATATGATTTAAATTTTGGCAATTGTCTGAATAATGTCTTTTTCTGGTTCACCATACCACATTGAATTTAGGTTTCCTATCTCCCAAGACTTCTCTAGTCTGAGAAATTTCACCTTTTTCTTAACCTTGAAAAGTCTGAAGAATATTGAACAGTTGTTTTATAGAAACATCTCTCTTTTTTTAAAGAGACAAGGGTGTTGCCCAGGCTGGCCTCAAGAGATCCTCTTGCCTCAGCCTCTCAAGTAGATGGGAAGTTCAGAAACTTGTAATCTCAGAAGAAACGGTCAGGTAACTCCTGCAGCTTCTAAAGTCAATATGGAGCCAGAAGGGGCTTGAAGACCAGGGACGGGCTCAAGGGCAAAAGGGCACCAAGGATAGGAGAGCCAGCATACCTGTGAGTCACACTTACGTATCAGAAGGCAGCCTTGAGAACTGTGAAGAGGGGTGACTAACAGTGTCAACATTCTTTGCAGTGTTCAAGAATGAAAACAAATAAAAGGCCCTTTGATCTCACAAGAGGGAGACCACTGTTGGTCCTCAAGAGACCAGTCTCATGGGAGGGTAGGGACAAAAAATATAGGAGAAGAGTTAAAGAGGAGTAGATTGGGGGAGTAAAATTATATACAGAGCACTTGCTCAATAAATCTAGAACTCAAAGGAAGAACAGTCAATGTGGATTAAAGGAAGGTGCAGGGCCTAATGGAGATTCTTCAAGTCAGGGGAGTTGTGGGTATTAGACATCAGAGAGTGAAATCACAAGAGAAGATGAGGATGGGTAGACACAAGCAGCTTCCTTCCAATGACAGGAGGGAGGTGGGAGGGCAGCTGTGGGATGAAACCTCCTCTAGAGTGCTAACGAGACTTCTGTCAGCAAGGTCAAAAAGGAGGTCATCTCCAGCCAGGACAAGACTCAAGCCCCCGAGAAGACAGAATGTCCGATGATGGGGGCCAGAGAAGGTGAGAGTATAGTTCCACCTCCATTCCCTTCACAGCCAGACACCGATCCACAGGCAACATGCAGTCCTTCAACATGTTCAACCCAAAGGATTCTCTGAGGACTTGGTATTGAATTAAACAAGGGCTCTGTCCCTTGCCACTGAACACTTAGGTGTGTGTATGGGGTGGGGGAGGCAGACACACAAACCATACCTTGTCAGATATGCCAGTGCCCTCTCTTCTTTGGGGACACAGAAAGGAGTGGGGTATAGATGGGGGCATATGGTCAGAGAGGAGCAGGGAAGGCTTCATAGGGTAGTGGGCAGGGAGTGAGGACATGAAGACAAAAGAAAAGGGAAGCCTCAGCTAAGGAAGCAGAGTATTCCAGGCAGGAAAGGGGCAAGGGTGAGCCCAAAGCCTCCAGTGAAGGGACCATGCTGGTATCCAGAGAAGCAGTGCAAGTGGTGAGAAACAGGAGAACATGCATGAAGGTTGCCCCCACGGAGAAATGCCTATGAGTGGGGTGGGATGGGGAGGGGAGACCAAAGAGAACTGTGTTCATGCCTCCATTTAGAGAAATGGAACTGTCTTTTTCCAAGATGGGGAAGGCAGAGGAGGGTCAGGTTGGGGAAGGGCATGGCAATCAAGAGTTTAATTGGGATGTATGAAGTTTAAATGCCTAATAGACATGGAAGTGTTAGGGCTGAAGGTTCACATCTGGGATCTGTTGTCAAGCAGATGGTATTTTAAACCCTCAGACTGCATGGAGATCATCTAGGGCAGCAGAGAATAAGAGGGGCTGAGGTCAGAGACCTGGGGTTCTGGATCATCTGCAAGGTAAGCACAGAGGTGTTGAGAGCCACAGCCTGAGGGGCCCCAGCAAACTTCCAGCTGCCAGCAAACTTCCAGCTGCCGGCTGATGATTGGCTCACAGCAGCCCCAGCAACATCTAGCTGATTGGCTCCTCGGCCCCAGCAACATCTAGCTGATTGGCTCCTCTGCGGTGATGCTCATTGGACTGTTTCCCTGCCCTTTCAGACCACGGAGCTGCTCATTGGGGGACTTTTTTGGCTCCGCCCACGTGACCCAGCCAATCGGCCTCTAGAGCAGGAGGATTGTGGGAGGTGGGGAGAAGCTTGTGTGGGAGAGAGAGGCTTGTGAAAAGCCGGTGGTGGCAGTTGAGGCTCTGAGGGTTTTTCCTGAGAGACTATTTTGTTTGTCATGTGTGGTTCTAAAAATAAAGTTAGTTTCTTTTGACAAGTGGCTCCTGATTGTGCCCAGCCAGACTGCGGCACAGAGGGGCTTGTGAGGGAGCTGCTCATCAGCAATGCAAGTTTGAGTTAAGACTAGAGTAGAAACAGAACCAAAAGATTTAATCTGTATTATACTCAATATCTTTTTATAACAATATCAATATAAAAAATTTTATAATAAAATTTTTAAAAATTTATTTTTTAGTATAGATGGACACAGTACCTTTATTTTTTAATTTTTTTTAACGTGGTGCTGAGAATCGAACCCAGTGCCTCACACATGCTAGGCAAACACACTTCCTCTGAGCCACAATCCCAGCCCAATATAGCAATATCTTGACAAAACACTGTTACTGGGTTTACAAATTAGGTAAATAGAGTATAATGTAATATAATGAAGTAATATAATGTGGGGTAGGGCTAGGTAGATTAATTTTGTATTAACTGTGTGTGATTGTCTGGAATATTGTTGAGTGGAATTGTGAGGCTTAGCCAGAAAGAGTTCTATGTTCAGTTAGTAATGTCTGCTCAGGTTTGGAGGCAGTGGTGGCTCACATGCTAATTTTTGCTATCTAAAAGGACACAGTGGGCTGAACTAGTCATAAATAATATATGTTGATAAATGGGCTGCCCTAGTTATCTTTTCAGCAGTGGAAAGACTTTTCCATTAGCTTATTTCATCTTTCACACTTAAGACAGTATAGTTGACCCTCCAAAACCAACCAGGAATTCAACCAACCTCAGATCAAAAATATGAATTAAAAACTTGCATCTGAACTGAACATGTATAAACATTTTTCTTGCTTTGATTCTCTTATACATATGATAACTACTTACATAAAATTATACTGTATTAGGTATTAATAAGTCACCTAGAGATGGTTTAATGTATATAGGAGGTTGTGTACAGAAAGGTTCTATTCAAATACTATGCCATTTCACATAAGGTACTTGAGCATCCATAGATTTTTACTTTCTGCATGGGATGGTGTGTATGTTGGGCAGGGAGGTTCCTGGGACCAATTCCCAGTGGATACTCAGGAGTGACTGTACTTGATATATGGTAGGGCGAGTCCCTCAACCTTGTTCTGCATATGACATTTGGTTTCAATTTATCAAGTTACACAAAAATCCAAGGTACAATTTTAATTGAAATGCATTAAATTAATAGACAAATCAAATTTACCTCTTTACAATCTAGTTTCCCCAGCAAGGGGCACAACTATGCCACCAGTGAGGAACTTTTTAATATCTTTCAATTGTACTTTGAATCTTGACCTTGTAAACCTCATACATATTTTGTAAGGTTTATTCCCAGATGCTTTAGAGTTGTTCTAAATAGTTTTTCAAATTTTATGATTGGTTATCATTGATACCCAGAAACATTATTTTTGTTTTTGAAAGCACTAAGAATGGAACCCAGAGTCTCATGCATGTTAGGCACAACTTTACCATTAAGCTATACCCTCAGCCTGAACATTATTTTTATACATTAATCTTGTATCCAGCAACCTGTTAGAAGGCACTTAATATTTATAGTGGAATATTCCTTTGAATGTTCTATGTAGACACACAATTATAACATCTGCTATTAAGCATAAATGTATCTCTTCCTTTTCTAACATTAATTTCTGTTATTGCTTTTTCTTGTCTTCCAGAGCCAGCCAAGACTTCTACTGCCTGTAGATGACATACTTTCTTGTTTCTGATTTTAACACAAATAATTCTAAAATTTTATTATTGACCATGATGATGTTTTAACTTATATCTAGCTAAGGAAATTTCTGTCTAGTCTTTTCTATAAACTTTGTGCTATTTTTGTTTTCTAAACCATGAATGAGTACTGGATTTAGTAGAGCACTATTTCCTAGTATCTATTGTGAGTTTGATCACCTTAGCTTTGCTGGTATAAGTTCTTATCATGATTTAATTCTCAATACTACTAGAATATTTAATTTGCTAAAACTCCATTTTGGATTCTTGTTTGTTCATACCTAAGATTGAGCTCAACTTTTTTAAAAAAAACTATCATCAGATTTTGGCATGTAAGTTATTTAAGACTGAAAAATTTTAAATTTCTTTAAATAAGCTCATATAAGAATCCTATAAAACAGTTTGAGATATTTTTAATAGGGCTAGGAAGATGATTTGTTTACAAACTCAATTTCATGAACCATAACTGATATATGTAAGGTTTGCTATTTTTAAGTTAATTTTGATCATTTGTATCTTTTAGAAAATTTTCCATTTCATCTATTTCAAATTTATTAACATAAAATTCTTTGGCATTTTCTTATGCTCTTTAAACCCTATATCTGTACTAGATTCCTTTGTTTGGTTCCAAATATTGCTTGGGGCTTTAAAAATATTAGTCCTGTTAGAAGTTATTCTTTTCTTTCTTTTTGGTACTGGGGAACAAACTCAGGGCCTTGCACATGATGGGTAAGTGCTCTATTACTGAACTGAATATCCCCCAGCACAGTTTTTCTTTTTTTTTTTCTTTTTAAAAGAACTAACTTTGATATGTTTAAAAAGGAATGACAGTTTACTTTGTTGTTGTTTTTTTCCCCAGTGTCTTACCATGTATGCTATATTCATGGCATAGAATAAGTCTGCGAAAAATTCCTATGGATCTTTTAAATAGATAATACCAATTTTAGTATTTCCCAGGATTACTATAAAATACCCATATATAATTTAAGGGCCTCCTTTACCTAAGTGTAAAATTTTTATTATTATTATATAGTCACGGGGGTTTCTATCCCCACTTTAAAAGGTAAAATGCATGGGCTGGGGATGTAGATCAAGCGGTAGCGTGCTCACCTGGCATGCGTGCGGCACTGGGTTCCATCCTCAGCACCACATACATACACATAAAGATGTTGTGTCTGCCGAAAATATTAAAAAATTCTCTCTCTCTCTTTTTTTTTTAAAAGGTAAAATGCAGGTCATTCTTAATTATTTTTGAACAATTTTCTATCTGCAATGGATCCCATGTCTTTATTCTTTGCTGTTGAATAAATTGGTAAACATTGTATGAGACTTTTTTCATTAACTTAATAATTTAATGCTCTGGCAGGAAATTCCCATTCAGAATCAACTGATTTTAGTGAAATTATAAAACATTAATTTTTCCAACTTCTTTACTCACAGTTCTAAAGCACTGCTAGGAGTACATTTTATAGTCACAGAATAAGTCTCCAGAAACACCAAATTGTTTTTTTTCTTTGTTATATCTGCATTTACAAAATTCATTTTTAAATTACACTTTTAATTTTACTTATATTACTTATGAAATAAGAATGTATGGGAAGCACTTGTAATAATGTATGCCATGCATTACTATCATCTTATTTTCTCTTTCATGTGGGGATTTTAATCATTTATGAGTACCTGAAAAGCTGACTGCTCTTGAGCCTTAATTTGGCTAAGTACAAATGAACACTTTTCATCTCTATTCAAAGGAAAGAATGAATCAGTTTTTATTTCTTGACCTATTGCAATTAAAAGCCTAGTGAGAGCTAATTTTATTTTTTTAAGACAGGGTCTTGCAATGTTCCAGGATCACCTTGAACTTGTGTGCTAAAGTAATGCTCCTGCCTCAGCCTCCCGAGTAGCTGGGGTAACAGGTACATGCCACCACACCTTGTTGCAATGACAGCTAATTTTAATTTGGAAGTAATTTAAAAAAATGTGTTTATTTAAAACCAAAGGTTTTTAATGTTTTATATTCAAGAGGGCAAAATTAACT